CACACATAGTGTTGTGTGTTCTTCCCAAACAACTCAATCTTGGTTTCATCTGTCCACAGTATATTTTGCCAGTAGTGCTGTGGAACATCCAGGTGCTCTTTTGCAAACTTCAAACGTGCTGCAATATTCTTTTTGGACAGCAATGGCTTCCTCCGTGGTGTCCTTCCATGTACTCCATTCTTGTTGAATGTTTTCCCTTATTGTAGATGTGTCAACAAAAATGTTAGCATGTGCCAGAGATTTCTGTAGGTCTTTAGCTGACACTCTGGGATTCTTCTTTATCTCATGCAGCATTCTGCGCTGTGCTCTTGCAGTCATTTTTACAGGGCGACCATGCCTAGGGAGAGTAGCAACAGTGCTAAACTTTCTCCATTTGTAGACAGTCTGTCTTACCGTGGACACATGAACATCAAGGCATTTGGAGATACTTTTGTAACCCTTTCCAACTTCATGCAAGTCAACAATTCTTGATCGTAGGTCTTCTGAGAGCTCTTTTCCGCGAGGCATGGTTCACATCAGACAGTGCTTCTTGAAACCAGTAAACCCAAAACAGGTGTGTGTTTTTTAAGGGCAGGACAGCTGTGAGCAACACATCCAATATCATCACACTGATTGGAGTCAAGGTTGGCTCACTCCTGGCTCCAATTAGCTCTGGGAGAAGTCATTAAGCTAGGGCCTCACATACTTTTTCCTCCCTGCACTGTGAATGTTTACATGTTATGTGCAATTAAACCATGGCAACATCTAATGTTTGTGTAGTATTATGTTCAGCAGACTGTGTTCCTCTATTGTTGTGACTTAGATGACGTTCAGAGCACATTTTATGCCCAATTCATGCAAAACTCCACGTAATCCCAAGGAGTTCACATACTTTTTCTTGCAACTGTATGTGTTCAGGGGCTAAAATGCAGAAATCCTGCATTGGGGGCTTACGTCCATGAATGTGAATGGCCCTTAGCTTCAAGACACATACAACTGTCACATATTTCAGCCTGTCATTTATCTTGAAAGGCTCCTTCTTTTATGCTGTACAGACCAAGCCACCCACATGTATGAACTCTAAAAGTAATAAATTATGTTCTTGTACTCAGTAAGGTGCATCCAATGCATTGTACTTAGTGTTGAGGAAACTTCTATCCACTAGTCACATAACAGCTCCCCGAAGCCCTACATCTCATTTTTAATATGTATTGCATTGTTTAAGTGTAGTTGCTTACATTTTTATTTACCACTTGAGTCATGGGTGCTGTTTTAAAATGGTGCAAGCATAGTGGCTATTTGTCTGAGAGCTGTCACATCATTTTAAAATGGTCAACACACTAGGTGGTTTCTATGGCCCCATTGCATTAAATTTGGGCCTGCCAGGACCCTGTGCTAAGCCCAGTGGCTGAAATGATGAGCTTCTGGGCTTCCAATTTTACTATGCATTTGCTCCTGTAGCAGATCACTATTAACTCAATGTTTCCACTTTAGGTTTACATTCAAGGGTGAAATTATGAGTAATGTCACATCACTTCCTCTGAGCATGGAGGCTAAGACAGAGCTGCTCTAGCTTTTTCCAGCATTTCTCTGCTATAGTGATCTATCACTGACTGATTGAAAACAACAATAGATCACAACTGAACGTGATCTGTTGCTACACAGATTTATTGGGTGGTTCTGGATCTGGTTTCCAATCTAAAAATTTTTTTTTTTTTTTGGTCCAGGTTTGTTTTCGTTTATGACAGATTTACCAACACACGTCTATAGAAATCCATTTTTCTAAGCAATCATATTTTCAAAGAAAATTAAAAATAAAGAAATGTAATATTTTTGCTAAATTTCTAATGCCCTGGTTTTTCTTTGCTTAGTGTTTTTAATTCTAAATATATACAGTGTTGCTGAACATTAAATGTGTTTTATTCTGAAACAGCTTTCCACCTGGTGTGATGCAATCAGAAAAATATAAACACATTATTTGAGTGCAATAGAAACTGAAAAACATATTGCAACTACATGTAATTTGCAGTTGAAGAGGTTTTTTCTCAAAGGAGCTTATTACTTACTGTTATACTCAATAGAGTATTGATTCTTCTACATGGAAAAAAATCCAAAATAGAGCACAGATTAAAACAGGCTAGTGGGAACTGCATTATGAACTGTGGCTCTGGTTGTACTGAATTCCCTCCTTATAACATGGGGAACATTTTGATCATTCATCTAAGGCAAATAATAATTATAGAACATTATCTTTTGGAAAATACAGGAAACTGAGTCAATATTACAGTGTACAATATGCTTACAATTCCTACTTCTCAAGAAAAAATACAGCATTAAAAAACAATTAATACTTGGTAATAAGATGCCAAAGTAGATATGGCTATTAAGAAATCTATGATAATCTGAAGCCGTATATAAAAACATAATTTAATTGTAAAATATTCTAAAATATTTTGGTAACTCAGTTTTACTGCATTAATATTAGTAAAGCACTTCTTAAGGTAGCACATCCAACTTTTTCTCTGTCCTTCATGTGAAGTGGTTTTCAATGGAGCTTTTTAGCTCTTATAAGATTGTTCAATAACTTACTCACTTGTTCATGATGATCTGTACTGTTTTAAGTAATCAATAAATTTATATATGTACTGTATATTATTAAACATATAAAATGCTCACTTCTATAATTTCTGATCACTTATGCTCATATCTAGCCTGGTTAATGTAAACCAGTCTAAATTCAACCTGAATTACTCTGAATTGCATGATATGAATATATGTGAACTTTTTATGAATAATAAAAAAAAAAAAAGGTTGTGCAATTTATAGTTCTTGTTAGGTGGCACCAATCAACAGAAATGTGTGATTGGGTAAACCACCATATAAAAGCATTGTGTAACAGCTGCTCAATGGAGTTTCACGCATCTTCTAACGATATCAAGTGCTTTAAGATGTCAAAAATAGTATATTGCAATCAAATTTAAGTTAAAGTGATAATGATGATATACTTGTGGAGAGATCTGCTGTAGTAATGATGAAGAGGGAGAGATAAAAGAAAAAATATGGTAATACATTGAGAATCATCTGCTACTCATGCTCAATCTCACCCTTATAAGCACCTTCATTTGTCCTCCCCCTTCCTTCTTAACAAATGTGAGTCATTCATCTTAGATTGCTTGAACTGGAAACAGATGTTTTTGCACTTTAAATTATAAACATCCACGTGTTCCCTTCACTTTTGGCTGTGTAGTTAACAACACCTATATAAAAGCTCAGCATAAACACTGTCACAACAATAGCTTATCTTAATATTGTACTCTAACCACCTACTTTATGGCAAAAAATTCAAGATTAATCAATGCTGTTACAATCAAGAAAAACATCTTTTAAAAAAAATGGACTGATCTGTTGATAGCTGTTTTAGTGCATTGCAGATTTTCCCATGTTTATTTATAAATAAATGTATTAATTCTTCATTTTCTTAGTTGTTTTACTCCATGCCTGAACATTTTAATCCATGTTTCAGCACCTCAAAAGCCTATTTTATTAGAGAAAAAAAAGTTGTTTCAGTATTAGTCGTAGTGACTTATCCTCGTTTTGAAAAAAAAGTCTATTATGAAGTTTTGCTGTTCTGCTATTGCACCCCAAAATTGTCTATTTCCTGTGTTGATAAATGGATTACATACCTTTATTGTTATACCATTGCATAATGTTATTTTTCTTTAATAGTAGCAAGAATGATGTCACTGTAGATGTAACCATGTGGTTGATGTGAATGCTTTTTTTTTAAATAATTGTATATTTATTAACTTTTTCCATGTTATACAAGCATCAACAGCATCAACATGGATGAACAAAAAGTAACAAAGAATATGGAGAGGTCAGCAGGAGACCTGTAGACAGGTAGAGAACTTTATCTAAACCATTCAAAGTAGGGAAGAGGTCAGTTTAAAGACATGTCTTAATAAGTAGGCACAGGATTTTATACAAAATATAAAAAGGCTCACAAAGATAGAAGGGGGAAGTAAACACATCATGAACCAAGTGTATACAGCATATAAAAAAGGGCAATTTAATTAAAGGAAGCAAGGGAGACAGTTAGCTAAAGTTCTGGGATGGTGGCTTGGAGCCATATTCCGAGTTGTCCCATGCATCCAAAATCTTGGTGAAAAGAGGCATGGAATCATTCACTACTGCAATAAGATGTTCCATTCTCTGGATATCAGCTACAATTTGTAACAATTGTGTGTGGGTTGGAAGGGCCGGAGACAACCAGCCTAAAGGTATGGTTTGTTTGGCAGCTAAAAAAACAAATATAGCCAATTTTTTAGCATGTTTGGAGATGTCTTGGTAAGGCAACCCTAGTATATAATTGACAGGATCTAGGGGTAATATAGTCTCAAGGGTTTAGAGGGGGGCCTGAACGGAAACCCAAAAGGGACAAATACGGGGACAGTCCCGGTCTCAGGCATGCTGGGTCAATGATGTCACAAGGGGACGGGGTCATCTAGTTGACATCACCAGGTGGCCCCGCTCCTTAGACATTTAAGAACTGTCAGACCAGTGGAACTGTCAGACGGTGGGAGCCAGCATCGAGAGTGGAGCCTTTTTCCTTCTTTTTTTCAGGGTGGCGGCAGGCATCGGGATTGAAGTTGGATGTACTTTGGGGGGCTTTTTTTTATTTTTGTTGTTCTAATAAAGGACTTGTCAAAGACTGCCTACTGTGGTTTTTTTTACACTACACTTTGTGAACTCATTCACATGGGGGGTTGTATCTGGAAGGCCCCCTTGTTAAAGAGGGCTTCCAGATTCCAATATGCCCCCCGCCCGCAAACCCCCACAACCACAGGCCAGAGTTGTGGGGAAGAGGCCCTTGTCCCATCAATATGGGGACGAGGTGCTTTGTCCAGGCTACATGCTCGGATAAGGGTCTGGTATGGATATTGGGGGGGACCCCACATCATTTAAAAAAAAAAAAATTGGCATTTCCCCTCAAAATCCATACCAGACCCGCGGTCCCACGCTGTCCTCCAGCTGCGTCCCCGGCCATGTCCTCAGTCCGATGCCGGCATCCATCTTCCCAGGTTATGTTCCCTGCGAGCGTCAGGATGTACGGGGATGGAACTGGCGGGAGATATAAAAAATGTCAAAATTTTACATACACATAATACACTAAAATCTGATAGTATTACATTACTGTATCAACCATTTCACATACATTTTGTCCCTTATGCTTTGTCCTGTGCCCTGCCTGCATTTTTACTGTTCTTTCTGCCTGGAAACTGAGAAACATACATGGCATCCAAAAAGAGTCCCTTTAGGTCAAAAGCGGTTTTAGACCAGCTGGAGAACAACGATAGTAAATTAGAACCACTTGCAAAATTGAGTGATAATGATTCGTGGGGAAATTCGTCATCAGACACCGAAAACAATTCTGTGACTGAGCTCAGTGATGTGTGAACTTGGCACTCTATTTCAAATGTCAGTGTTTTTGGTTTGATTACATTATTGAATTAAATTTATTATTATATTATTATTTTTACTGATTATTTATTATATTATAATTTATGATTTCATGTTTCAAATTTTATCATATTTACTAGACTCACACCGCTAGGGAGGTTAAGTATTTTAGTAGTGTTTTTTAGTGAATGCCAACTTCTTCTGGAAAATGTCTGTCCTGTATCTTCTTACCGCATATTTGGATGTGATAAGATACTGCTTAGTGAATTGTCCCCAGAGAGGGTAAACAACATTGGAGCTAAACACAAATCTTTCAATTGGGTAATAGATGTCCAACCATAGCAAAGAGCAAGGGTGTACAGGAAAGTTGATTCCCGTTTTAATTTTAGACCACATGTTGGGGGCATATCGAGAGGACGATGAAGTAACTGCCCTGAGTTAATACTACTGAACTTGCAATGAGTGTGTGATTTATTATGCCAAATAAAACTGAGGAAGGACCTCTGAAGTGATTTAAGTTGCTTTAACGGAATAGAGACAGGCACGGTTTCAAAGATATATATTAGTTTTGGAAGTGTAAAATCTTGAGGATATTAATTCTTCCTAACAACGAAATAGGATCTGTGTCCCACTGTTTCAAAAGGAAGTTGATTTCCTGAAATATAAAGGGTAGAGTATAAGGAGGACATACATACTCCTAAGTATTTGAGAGAGTGAGAGAATGGGAGCACCAACAGTAAGGGAAGTTCTGTTGTAATGTGGCTAGTAGGAGGGGAGGGATATGAAGGGGCCTCTGTTTTTGTTGTGTTGTGTTGACCTTAGATGTGAATGTTTTATGGTGTTCTTTTACCAACGGAACCTTTTATTTTAAATCTTGAATCGTTTTAGATAATCTATAAATGAGTGCCTTGATGCTTCAGAAATTGTGATGTATCTTCTGACTCATTAACAAAAAAACTATTTTGTTCTTTATGTTATAAGTCACCTTGCCTGAAAGGTTGATGTTTATCTGGAGCTTGAATTCTTAATGTGTGCTGTGTTATTTATCAAAAAAGCATCACAATATACTGTATATCCTAATGTCCATATCAATGTGCCAATACTATCTTATTGTTGATAACAATAATATTCAGTCAATAAAATGAAGTGGTCCAGTCTCATTCATCTATTATCCAAACTCTCCCTCTGAAATGGGCAAATTCACCAGATACAGATGACAACTCAAATGCAATGGCCAGCAATTGTCATGCCAGACATTCACATGGCTTTTTCTTATTTAAAATGTCTCTTTGCACCAGCAATGCATTAGGCATTCCTCCCAGTTACATGTTAGTAAAAATTAAAAACAGCCCACATAGTTTAAAATCTCTTAGATATAACTAATGTTATTAATAAAGCTTCAATATCACAGCAATACGCACATTTAATCCAATCCAGCTGTGTCTCGTGTGCTATGTTATTAAATAAAATACATAAAGCTTCCCATAAAAGTGGTGCCTTTTATCCAGCACTAGGTTAAAACACTCCCAAGATCAGTGGCTGCACATATTAGCTGAGATGATGTCAGCTTGTCCCCATCCACTCAACTATTTTAGTCATGTGAATTCTTAAGGAGTGTAGTGGGATACTTAGTGAATATTTAGGTAGAGGGGTAGTTTGCTTCATATGTTTGGATATTCAATACTAAGGAAGCAGCTATGAGAAGATGCTGCTTGAGCGTGAGGTGGTACCCAAATTTATGTGCTATTTTAACCAGTTGAAGACCAGCCACAGCATTAAAACGTTTGCAGGGTGGCATGACTGCGCAAAACCACGTTTTTAAACGTGTTCCGTGCTCCAGAGGTTTTCGTGGGCAGGGGGCACATGCGCGCACGCCCGCCGACCCGCGGGTGTCACCATTTGATCCCCAAGGGATCAATCATTCAGTTTCAGCCAGCGATGTCCGGCTGAAATCAGATGATCAGTCCCGATCCTATCCTGTCCTGTGTTGACAGTTACACAGGACAGGATTTGATGTCAATCTTCTCTGCCTGGGCACATTCCGTTCCAGACAGAGAAGAAGACAGAAGAATTGTGAGTACAAAGCACTACACTTACAGTTAGAACACACCTAGGACACATTTAACCCCCTGATCACCCCCCCAGTTAACCCCTTCACTGCCCTGTCACCAGTGTCATTGATCAGTGAACAGATTTTTACTGATCACTGTATCAGTGTCCCTGGCGACTTCCAATAGTGTTAGCGCCCCTCCCATATAGCACCAGTTTGCCAGTTAGTACACTAGTAATCCCATTTAACCCCTTGATCGCCCCCCCCCCCCCCGAGTTAACCCTTTTCACTGCCCTGTCACCAGTATCATTGATTACAGTGAACAGATTTTTACTGATCACTGTATTAGTGTCACTGGTGACTTCCGATAGTGTTAGCATCAGTTAGCTCCCCTCCCTGATAGCGTCAGATTGCCGCTAGTACACAAGTAATCACATTTGACCCCTTGATTGCCAGGAACACGCTCACTTGCACGCTAAACCTCCATTGCTAGTATAGAGTCCGATTGGATCAATATCTTTGATCAGATCAGTGCTATACCAGCGTTCACATTACTATAGTATCCCCAAAAATGCAGCGTTAGCGTGATCAGCCCCAACACCTGCCAGCACCTGCGTTTAGCCCCTATGCCCCCCCCTTCTCCCCCAGCAAGTGCAGTTTCAGTAGATAACTGTCACTTGATACATTACACACAAGACCGCAGCGTTCACAGAATCAGACTTGATCTCTGTTAGCACTTGTAAATTTTTTGTAGCGGTTCAAACACTCCCTGACAGCCAGGTGCTCTTTTTCCCGTGAGTCGCACTAGGTACCTGTAAATTTAGTGGCCAAAATGTCCAACCAAAGGTACTCTAGTGAAGAGGCCTACAGGATTCTGAACATGTCAGGTGAGAGTGAAGGGGAAGACTCCCTGACAGAATCAGGCTCAGGATACGAACCTGTAGACAGCAGCGGCACCCTGAAAGATAGCTCAGAAGACGGAGAAGAGGTCCCTGCTAAGATCATGTGTACCCGACCCCATTCCCAAGTTGCTGAGGTGGTACAAACGCATGATGACTCTCATATGCAGCAGAGTGTTAGTACTAGTGCCGCACTACCTTTTGGTGAACTGGTGAGCACCAGCGGCCTACTCCATCCTGGTCTTATACATACCAGCACTGCAGTATAACTTGGTGACGTGGCTGAAAGGATCTAGATAACTTCCATTTTGTATTATGTACGCCATTTTAAGTATTAAGTATTAAGTTAGCTTTTTGTAGAAATATTAGAAGTTTAATGAAACTGTTTTTGGTTGTTCAAGGATGTATCAACAGAAGCTAACACGACCCTGACAATGTCTTTGTCTGGCTGTTTTCCCAGAAAGTTAGCCAAAATAATTTGTACCAAGAAATGTATATGTTATGTTTCATGTAGTTAGCTCATGATGGAAAGTTACAAGTTACAGTTTTGAAACTCGCTCCCCCCCCTCCCTTATTTTATCTGTAGTCTATATAATCTTATTAATGTCTAATAAACTTTGAACATCTCTGAACATAAGCTGTCGTGATTTCCGTGTTCAAGGGGTGTTCCCAGAATTCTGCTGATAAACCAGGAATCTCTCCACAGACCGGGGGTCTCTGAGGGAAAAGAAAATCATTCCTTTCAGTGGCGAGTCCCATAAGTGCAGTACAAGCTGGTGCAGTGGCGAGCACAAGAAGTGTACTGCAGCCACCAAGAATTCGCAGACAGGCCGTAGAGCCCCTAGTATACCTCCGGATGTGCTTGCAAATCCCGATTGGCAGCCCACAAATTCTGAAGCACACTTACTTACCCCATTCACTGCCCAACCCAGAATTCAGGTGGAAACAGCAAATTTAAATACTCCCCTTGATTTTTTTTAGCTGTTTTTCACAGATGATCTTTATGCATTGATTGTGGATCAAAGCAATTCATATGTACGACAATTTATCGCCGCCAACCCAAATTCAAACCTTGCCAGACCATTCGCATGGAAACCCATTACTGTTTCCGAATTTAAAGTTTTTTTTGGGCCTAACCTTCAACATGGGCATTAATAAAAAAAATCAATTGCGGTAGTATTGATCCACAGACCCGCTTGTTCATATGTTCGTGTTCTCTGCTGCCATGGCCAGGCATAGATATGAGAAGATAATGTGTTTTATGCACTTCAACGACAACACACTCAGTCGTCCTTGGGGTGACCCTGATTTTGACCGGCTCCACAAAATTCGGCCCCTCATAAATCACTTTAACCAAAAATTTGCAGATGTGTATACTCCCCAGCAAAACATCTGCATCAATGAGTCCCTCATTCAATTTTCTGGGTGCCTTGTAATCAAACAATTTCTCCCCAGCAAGCGTGCCAGATATGGGGTCAAGATGTATAAGACCTGTGAGAGGGCAACAGGCTATACATATAAGTTTCATATTTACGAGGGAAAAGATAGTCACGTGGAGCCCCCCCCGGATGCCCAGACTACATGAAGAGCAGTGGCAAGATAGTTTGGGACTTGGTGTCATCCTTTTTCCATTTGGGGTACCACTTATACGTGGACAATTTTTATTCAAGCGTGCCACTATTTAGACATTTGTTCAATCTTGGAATTTGCGCATGTGGCATTGTGCGATCTAATCGCCGGGGCTTCCCCATTGGCTTGTAAATACCCATCTTAGAATGGGAAAATGCCTGCTTGAGAAACGAAGAATTGCTCGCAGTGAAGTGGAGGGACAAACGGGATGTTTACCTCTTGTCTTCCATTCACACAGATACGACCATCCAAAATGCCTCGGCAGCTGGTGTTGTTGAGAAGCCCCTCTGTGTCCACGATTATAACCTTAACATGGGAGGGGTGGACCTGGCCTCTGCGTCAAGC